ATGAACCATTTAAATTTTAATCTAATAACAAGAAAGAAAAAAGAACAAAAGAGGAGGGAATCCAGACTCCCTTGCTGAAAAATAAAAGTATCGTGGGCCCCTCTGCATGTATGGGTTGTTAATTGTCTTGAACTTGTACGGTTATATCCTTGTCTTGAACAGCTCTTTGCTTTCACTTTCTTTTGAAAAGCTGGGAGTGCCGCCAGTCTTGGGTATTTTTTTATGGAAATAAATACATTTAATTTCTATACTCTACACAAATTTTATTATTAATCTGTACATTTTATTTTTAATATTTTAAATTTTTATAATTTTTTTAATCTGTACTTTAGGTTTCTACAATCTCACAGCAGTGTTGATGTGACATTAGTGATGTTAGTTATACTGATATGGACAATAACACCGTTAATTATAAGGAGAATGATAAAAAGATTTTAAAAGGATTAATTAATTCAAGTTAAGTTATAAGTATCAAGCTTCAAAAATTTACAATTTACTTTATAAATCTTACAATTGCATTATGATGAATTTGCATCTTGTTTTTTAAATTTTAATATGGTTGAAAAATAAAAAAAATATTTTTCTATTAAAATTTTGAATATAAGTTATAAATGCATCACAACAAAATCGCAAATTGAGAGATTGAGTTGTAAATTTTTAAAATTTAATGTTTGGGACCTGACTTAAATTAATTAATCCTTTTGAAACTTATAACATCCCAATTTAAATTTTAATAGTTAATTTGGGTTAATAGAAATTTAAAAAAAAAATATTTAGAGGTAAGAAAATTAATAAGAGATGATTATTAAATCTAACTTAGGATATAATTCTAAAAAAAAATTTAAAAAATAATTAAAAAAATAAAAAAAAATTATTAAATTATTATTATAATAAAAAAGGGAAAACGTATTAAAAAAAAGGGGAAAGAAGAAGAAGAACAAATTGCTTTCGGCGTCGCGTCATGATTACATAAAATAATAAAAAAAAGGAGAGAGAGGAAAGAAGAAATAATATAAAAAAAGATGTGGGACCCATTGAATTTTTATAAAACTCACTCGTTTCCTTTCATTTTTTCAATTCTTTTCCTGCGCGCGAGCTGAGGCCGAGAGAAGCGAGTCGCCGGTGCGAAATATCTAAATTTTTAAGGTAAGAGTTTTTAATAGGATATTTAAGGTGTGATTTTAAACTTTTCAAGACTAAGTAAGTGTTCTAAAAATTTTTTTTAGTCATCCTTCTTCTTTGGTTTCTGAGTTTGTAGTGGTAGAAAATTTAAGATCTGGAAGAGGGATGAATTTATGTTGAATAAATATGATTTTGAGGTTGTCAGTAGTATAATAAATGTTCTAGAGTATAAATTTATTGATGATCTTTGAATCTGTGACTTATGGATCAAATTCTAAATTAGATCTGAAAATATATGTTGATTTATTGAGGTTTAGATGATTATTTGGGATGAGAAATGAATTATTATGGTTATAGGATTATGATTCTAAGCTAGAGACTCAATTTTTAATTTTTGAGTATTTTAGGTATGAATTTATGAAATAAAAAAAAATTTTGATAAAAGAAATTAGTTTAGAAGTTGATTTTTAGATTATTAATGTTTATTGATAATTAAAAGAGGAATTAAAAATTTTACTTAATAGTATTAACTATAGATTTGTATTAAGATTGGGATTAGGAATTATGTTATATTTTTAATTCTATTATTAGAATTATTTTATTAGTTTCAAAAATTGAAACTAATATTTATAAATAATATGTTATTTGTAGATTATATTACTGGTGAAGATTGTGGTGAGAGATAAATTTTAAGAAATAATTTATTAAAAAAGCTACAAGGTAACCATGCTTTTAATTTGTGATTAGTGTTACTTCATGTTAATTGGGTGATTATTGAGAAAATTATGAATTTTGTAATATTGTATAATTGTGTAATATTATTATGAATTTGTTTCATTATTATGGAAGGTGTTGGGAGACTTGCTATTATTGTTGTATTTATGTGCCACGTGGTACGCCCCTATTGGAGCTCAATAGGTGGCTTGTAAGGGCTCGGGCTAATCTACCTTTGGCCAGGTAATTTAGCAACGAGTGAGGTCTACGGCTTGAGGTTAATGGATGGATATAAAGATAGTTGTTTGTGTTTATTGTATTATTTTTTATATTTGTTGGAATTATATTATTTTTAATTTTCACTTAGTAAGCACACACTTAACTGTTTGTATACACTATCATAAATTGGCTTTGGTTACTGGGACTTTTGAGTCTCATTATGTGGTTAACAATTTTCAGGAGAAGAGCCACGAGTGACACGTGGAGGAGTCCTAGAGGCTTAGTGGTATAGATCCACTGTCTCTTTTGGGTATTTAATTTATGATTTATAATGTGTTATATTGTCAATATTAGGGCTTTTTGTTTATTGTCAATTATATGAATATATAAATGTAATCATGCCTTTCAAACTATTTCTATTTTTGATACAATTTGGATGACTGTAATTTTAATATTTGGTTTACTTTGGATTAGTTAAAATGGCATGATTATAAGGCCAAATAACTGGCTTATGTTGAAAATTGATTAAATTACTTATTTTACTTGTTGTGAGTATAAGGATGGACAAATGTTATTTAGTTTACTTGTTGGGAGTATAAGAATGGACAAATATGATTTAGCCTAATGGTATGTGGAAGGTAAAAATTTATCTGAAATGTTATAGTGTGTGAGTTGAAGCCAATTATAAAATATTTTATATTAAAATTATTGATATAAAAATGTGTTGGATGGCTGTAACCCAACTATAGTTGAGTTAAATTATTTAAAAAAAAATTTTGATGTGTTACAAAACCTATCTGTCATTCTTCCTTAATTATATGGTGATGTGTTAGTTTGTGATTGATGTATATTTTTTTGAAAAAAAGAAAGAAAAAGTTATGTGTATTTTTTAATAATTATTATATATATAAAAATAGGGTTTAAGGTTATAAGAAAATGTCATGTGTTTATTTTTAAGTTTACTACAATTATATATTTTAAGGTGCCTTTCCTGTGATTTTATACTCTAAAATCAGGTTTGAAATAATTTATTATTTTTTAGTATATATAAAATATGTTATTTAGTTTTAGAGTTAGGACAATTTTTTTTTCAATTTTTGATTATTAAAAAAAACTCCATGAGGTCCTATTTACAAGACATTTTCTAGAAGAAATTTTTAGTCTAAAATGTAAGATACTTTCTAATGATTAAATTATTTTTTTAATTTTATCATTTATTGATTAATGTAAAATATTTAATGTAGTTGTATCATTATTTAAAATTAAGAGTAACAGTGAAAGTATATATCTTTTCTTATGATATCAAGAAAAAATAACTTTTCTTAAGATGAAATGGGTTGAAAATGTCTTATAATAATGATTGAAAAGATAAGACATTAGCTTTTCTTTCTTTTTTTTCCTAGAAAAAAGTACACATCAGCTACTAATTGACACATCACCACAAATTAACAGTGTTATTGTTCATATCAGCATAATTAACACTATTAATGCTATGTTAGCACCCTATGAAAGTTTAGGGACTTAAAATGTAGACGACAAAAACTATAAGAACTTAGGACACAAAAAATAAAGTGTAGGGATGATAGAGTATCAAGTAGCATGGGATAAATAGGTGATGTGGAGAAGTTATGGAAATATTAGGAATGATTATTATTTTCAAGTTATTTTGAACATTAGCTTTTTAATAATATTTTTAGATTGTTTTTCTGTTTTGTTGAGTGGTCCTTAGATTTAGGAGAAGTGAGTGTTGTAAATTATGTTAGTTATTTTATTTATTTATTTATTGGTAGTTATGGCCCGTTATCTGAGTTATGGATTAATGAGAGTATTTTTAGAAATTATTAATTACTTTTTTGTCTATAAATACTAAGACACAGCATGTACAAATCATCTAAAAATATAATCATTATTTTATTATATTAGTCGAGATTCTTCTTTGACTTTATTAGTTGTATAAGTTTAAGATTCTTGCTCATCTTCTATTAAAGATTTTCCTTTATCTTTATTAATTTATAATGTTAGATTTTGATTTCATATTTTAACAAAGATTTATCTTTTTTATTTCTCCCAACCTATTTTGGATCCTATCAAGGGATCACTAGCAAATCACGTGTAAAGCGTCGGGACTAAAAGTTATATTTTTCATTTTTTATCACTCCCTTTTTGATTTTTCATTTATTATTTGAAACATTCAAAATGACATTAATTATTATTTTGTGAATAATGTTCCTTTTTCGACAGGAGAAGGAAGACCAACAAAAGAAGGGGATAAAAAGAGAAACATTTAAAAAGATGGCATTGTAATTCAGGAGTGATCTGTGGTCAATTGATTATTTTTTCCTTCAATAATTGTTAATATAATTATATTCTAAAATATATTTTTTAATCCTCTAACTTTATATAAAGTTTTAATTTAATCCTCCTTTAATTTTGTAAAGTATTTTTTATTTTTTAACCTTAACATCATTAATTTAAAATGATTATTTTTTATGTCAATTATTCTTATTTTAAAAAAAAGTTAAACTTAATATATCAATGTTTGAGAATATTTTGTTAATATTTGATAATTCAATATAAAAATTTGTTAAGATAAAACTATTAAAGTTAAAGGGCTAAAAAAACACTTTATGTATCCTTTAGCCTTTTGAATTTAATGGTTATTGACAATACAAGATTATCTATTACAATTTTTTCAAAGAGAAAATTCTCTATTATAAGAGCAAAAAATAAAAAAATAAAAGGAAAAAAAATTAATTAACGAATTGATTCCAACACTTCCAATTGTAAAAAAAAAAAAATCATGTTTACAAGTATCACATAATCGTATAAAAATTATCATTTGTATGCTAATTATATAAATCATCTATATAATATAAACTTTATAAATGGCTGTAAGTTAATATGAATATTATCATTATCCAGTTCGTGACAAGGCATCTTCACAGTTGATTTTTAAATAATTAATTAATTTCATAAATTTGTGATGTTTCTTCCTTTCGTTTACTGCGCCAGGCGTCTTGATTAGTGCGTAGTTTTTACACGTTAAATAAGACTGTCAAGAGTTTTAGTCATCTCCCACGTTCATATAAAAACCCATTGCCGGAACTTACAAACCATTGAACCTGCTGCGGGACCAGGTATAGATGAGGGCTCTCGCGCCTTCTTAATCGTCACGTTCACCTTTATGGCTATACTCCAGGGACCATATGCGAGTCACCTTGATGACATAACAGCACCCAACCTAATGCTACGTACTCTGATATATATATATATATATATACATACAGGCTTAGCTAGAAATTGATCTTATACATCCTCATTCTAATTTTGAAAGTTGCAATTGTGACATAACAAAACTATATCCTTCAATCTTCAACCACAATAATAATGCGCACTTAGACACGGGGACATAGACCCGGCAGCAAGAAGTGCGTCTTGAGTCGGGTCCTCTGCTAGGCGGCTAGTCTCGACCTAGGCATCGTCCCACGAGTACGAACACAAGTAACATAGATCAAATCATATACCCTCGGTCATCCCCCCATAATTTATACGTACGCGCGTCACGTCGTGACCGCTCGGTTTCGATGGAATGCTGACTTCAGATGCCGGCGAGGCACTCCGGTGGGGTTACAGGGAAGCGTGATTTATCTTGACAGTAATCATAGATCATGTGGTTTACACGAACCCACCTGTACCTTTTGGCTTCTACGGCATTCAGAGCTTGGTAGGCCCCCCCTTCCCACCAGTTTCTCGGGTCCGAGGCACAGCCCGGAGGTCCTGGTACCGGACATCCTTCTATGTCGAAATCTTTGTAATAAGCGTAAAACGGTGCTTTGCTCCAATCAATTTTCTCTAGCCCTCCTCTGGTCGCCCAATCATCCGCCTCCCACAACGTAGAATACACTCCCATGGGTTGCATCCTGGGGTACGGGATTCCCCTCGCTTCGTTGTTCTTGTACACCCTGATGGGAACATCGTCCACGTAGAAACTGCACATATAATTCCAATTTCCAATACGTTATATATATAAAGAGACCAATGGTACCAAGACATACCCGTGGGTTGTGATGGAATTGACTTACACAATATGGTGATGATTCCAGATGATGGCGTAGGAGTGGAAGTCAGCAGAAGGATCAAACCAGAGGTTGACGCGCTGTTCTCTATCACCCTTTCCGTGGGCATAGACATTTGTTTGAACTGTGTAGGGCTGCCCACTACGGTTCCCCAGGAATTCGAAATCCAGTTCGTCCCGAACTGAGTCCGTATCCGAGTTCATCTACCACCGGAATCGGATGCAACAACCTATTAATTATACATTCCTGTGTATTGTCTCATATCAAAATAAAACTGTGACAAATAATTCGTAACTTACGTACATAGAAGGCAGTGACAGTCCCGGCCGAGTCTCCGGGGATGAGCTTCATCTTCATGCTAACACGACCAAACATATATTGCTTCTTAGAAGCGAACCCACATCCTGAGTAAAGTAGTGCATATAAAATTAGCCTGGTGTGCGCGTGTGGAAGATATATTGAATTGAGTACGGAATAGTAGATCATGCAAAAAGGAGAGTCCTTAAGAAGGTACCGGCGTTTTGGTCTAGAATGAGCTGGATGGCCCTGCCGCGATCGATTTGCCTGATATGGGAATCAGACCATGTGATTCGAAAGTCTTGCAGAAAAGTGGCGGGTCGTCCCCAGGCGCACGCAGCAGATATCAGAACCCATAACACCATAAACAAGCCAACGTATCTAGAAGGGTAAAACATGGGCACGGTTATGTAAGGATCGGACGTGTTTGATTGACGGGGAATATTAATTATTTTTTGGGCCAATTTGGTATACAATGCAAGTGGGATATGGGAGGGTCATATATTTATAGGCCAATAGGTGGCTAGAGGATGATTCATTCAAACAATGGGAAGCGTCAGCAGAGGATAGCTTTCCATCCAGCTAATGGCGAGCCGTCGCCAGGCCCTTCCCAACAGTAACGTAATTTTGCCTGGGCCTCATCTTCTATCATGTCTGCCTAATTCATGATTTTATGAGCGTGTGCATTTCAATTACAAAGGTCAAGCATTTAATTTCTGGATGTGGTGCTATCCGTCCCACACATATATTCATTCTCTTTCTTTCTCCAAGTAGATATTACCAATACCCAGCTACCCTCTGTCCGACCCATCAAATCAAAATTTCGAGTGGTGTTTCGCACAGATCGGTGTGCGCGCAAAAATATACCCCATTTATTTTTATCTATAAAAAAATTATCACTTTTAATTTATTTCTTTATATAAATAAAATTACATTTTTCAATAAACATTTATTATAAACTTTTTAAATTACCTCTCATAATTATATCATAATTAATAAAGACTTAATTAACATAATTAATAAAGAGTATTGTAATATAATATTTTTCAAACACAATTAATATAATTAATTAATTTTTTAAATTGTGTAATATAATTTTTTTATAAATAAAAACGGATGGAGTACCTTCCACCATTCATGTGATGACGTCTTCCAATATTTTTTTTTTTCAATTCACTAAGATAAAAATAATAAATTACAAAAATAACTTAATCTGTGTTTTTCACTTGAAAATTAAAACTACTAAACCAGTGAGCTATCAGGCACCTTGCTAGTTATCACCCCATCGTGATTGATATTAACGAAAAAAAGGACGGACAACATGGCTGTCAATTAAGCCAATAACAACACGACACGCAGGGGTTAAGGCCGTCGGAGATTAAGGGGCTACATGGTCCTACGTCAGCATCATAGGTGGCAATGAAATGTTGTCTCCGTACAACTGTCGGCAGCGGCTTAATTTGCAGTACTGCTTCAAGACCAGACACTCGAGCCATGCAAGCATTTTGTTTTTTTAGGGAGAGAATCACATTCAAATACTCCGTTTTTGTATATAAATTTTTTTTAATTTTTTTAAGTATAAAAAATTGTTAATATATTTTTAATAAATAAATTATTATACCTTTATTAAATTAAAAAAGATAAATACTTTCATTAATTTATTTAAAAAAATTTATTTTTTTATTTACAATAATTAAGAGTAAAATTGAAATGTTGCAGAGTGCTTGTAATTGGATAACTAATTTTTATTGATTTGCATAATTTTATTAAAAATATCTTACATGTAAGAACGAATGGAGTAACATTTAAGAAAATTATTTACATACAAAAATTAATTACAGGTTTCGTTTAATAAAAGATAAGTCATATTTTTATTTTAACAACAATCTATTTTATATTGATATTAGTTTGTGAATAATTTTTTTGAATGATTTTTTAATACAATTTTCACTATTTTAAATGTTGCACCCTCAATACACATGATGGATCAGTAAAATTATGGATTCTATCTATGACATTTGTTTTCCAAGTAATGGGATTCGGACGTTTGGATCCAATCACTCTACGTTGAAAGGAGGGCGAGCGCAAGTAGGCAGAGGCACATAAAGTTTAAGTATAGCGAGTGTGCGTATATAAATATTTGAGGATGGTAGGATGATAAAATTGAAGTGGACGGTCTTGTCCATACCATATTCAAGTGTTTGGTGGAATAGCATGAGAGACAATGACTGCTGAAACAAAAAACATGGCTTTGTACCCAAACCTAAGCGCACATAAACATCATTAACAACTACCCACCACTACTCGTTCCAGCTGTTTGACACTTGATCAGCTCTCTTATTTTTATATTTTTATTTTTTTGGTAAAAAAAAAAGTTTATACGAGTTAAATTTGGAGAGTCATCAAGACTTGTGCATATCTCCAACTCTAAACAGTGTTTATAAAAGTATCTACAGAAACTCATTTAATTTTCTCATATTTTATCCAAGTTGGATAAATATATATTTTTCTATATTAATTTCAACAAAAAATTGATTGTTATCTCGGTTTCAAGTGCTCAAACAAACAATTATAGTGGAGACATTTATCTCTTCGACTCATTCTCTTTAGGCTCATGCATGGTAAATTAAAAAGTCACAAAATTGTCAATTAAATAAAGAAGTGAATATGCGTTAATATCTATATCTAAGCCTGTTCGATCTCATTACTAAGAGAGGTCAATTTTTTTGATTTTCTATTCGTCTGTATAAACCATCCATCCCCTGTTTACAAGAGAAAGAGCAAGAGAGGGGAAACAGACAGGGCGACAGCGATCTCACTTGGCAATTGGCGTGCAACAGAATTTGCTATTAGTTTCTATAGCAGTAGACTAGGACCAATAATACATAATTTATAATTGTTGGCGTTCTTTTTCAATAATGCTAAACTTTTTGAGACCGTGATGAATCAATAATAATTAAGATTAAGAATACTAAGTAAATAGTATGTGTTTAGTCCCATTATACTCTTAAATTACTTCAAATGCTTAACTTTTTGAGATCTATCCTTCCTATTTCCATTTTTTATTTTCTTCGGACATGATGTTAAGATTTTTTTTCTGGGGAATTCGATGTAATAGTTCGGTCTGCTTATGTCGTTTGAATCAACAGTAAATGCATGAGCCTAACTTGAAAGCAAAAGCTTTCAAGTTCCCACTACTCCAACTTCTCAATTAATTGTCGAAAAATAACATTTTCACCTGCATATCAGGAATGGGTCTTGAGGTTGGTGTATTGAGATAGTTCGAATTCATGCAGAAAGTGAAGGTACATTAGTTGTTTTGATGCATACAGAAGGATATGTGAAGTGGTGGCCATGACATATATTATCACACAGTAATTATACAGTCGGATATTGCATGGCTCATTGGAGTAGAGGAAGTCGTCGTTATTTTATCATGAGATGATAAAAATCAGATCCTTTATTCCCTTATCCTTTGCTCATGATGCACCAAACTAGCCAAAAGACTATTACTCACTTGAGGATAAGCTGTTGCGCGAAAGTTGGTTCAACCTAGAAGCTGCATATTGCAGAAAACAATGGTGGGTCCACCATTTTCAAATTAAACTACAGTGTATATCTCGTAGAGCTGTAGCCCTATGGACAGGGACTTCCACATGTGAATGAATATGATGGGTCTCAGCCATTTCGAATAATTGTAAAGTAGAAGCTTAATGTGATTATTACATCCGTTGATTTTTATATATTCAAACGGGTGAGAAAGCCTTTGAACTTTGCAGTACATCGTGCTATTTTAACAGCTGCAGCATTATTAACCTTAGCTGTTTCTCTTTACAGTTTATACGCATATTTTTGGGTGGAGCATAAGGAAAAATAATCTCACTGGCTTTTGGAGATTGGCATTAATTCCGAAATAGGACTATAGATTCAAATAGGCAAAGATGATAATTATGTATTGGGGTGATATATATATATATATATATATATATATATTTTTGCGTGTTGCACCCGGTGTCCTGGGCAGGCCACCTTTCAGGGATATCAACGGTCCAGACTTATTTGGATTAACTGAATTGTGGGAACCTCAAATGGTGGGACAGCTGGCCAAAGATTTTAAAGCTTTCCGTGTCCAAGTGAGGATCAAACCCCCGACCTTCGTTAAGGGAGGAAGAGGCCCATGCCGTTGCACCACACGCCTCTGTTTATGTATCAGGGTGATATTTGGGTGATTTGGAGACATTTAGCTAATTCTATTTAGTTGTTTACTTTTGTTGGCTGTTTACGGGGTTGTTAGTGAGTTACAGGGCAATGAGTTTATTAGAGTGAACTAATATTAACCAACTAGTTTTTTTGGGTTCGGATTACCGGCTTTAACGATAATTAATGTTTGGTTTCTTAAGTTTTCAATCACATCTTGCAAAGCAACTTCTTCCTGTGAAGTTGCTCAAACGTTACGCTGTAATTAGGTTAGACGCACCGAAAGGGCCCAATGGAGTCGAACTCCTTTGAAGGCATGCATTGTGATGCTTTTGGGTTCTCCCGGGCTTAATTAAAACTCGAAGCACGTGTCCATTTTTAATACACCCTCCCCTCTTGAAAAATTAATAATTAGGAGCCTCATCAAAATATTAACAATAGTTATAAATATTAAATTATTGAAATCCTAATAAGAAATCATGGTCTTGCAATTGAAAAAAAAAAAAGCTAATAGTTAGTTGAGAAATCAACAAAATAAACTCAAGATTATTTATATTGTCAGTTAAAAATTTATGAAAATCAATTGAAAATACAAATAAATTACTTAAAAAAAATAAAAAATATTATAATATTAGTTGAAAATTTATAAGAGTCGATTATAAATTGCAAGCCAATTACTTGTGATTTTTTGTTGTCCACATATAGATAAATTTCTTGAAAAATCTATAAAATATATTTGAAATCATTTCTAACGTCAGTTGAAAATTTATAAAAGTTAGTTATGAATTGTAAGCTAATTACTTGTGATTTTTTTGCTCTTGCTTAAAAAATCAACAAAATATATTTGAAAATCTTTGTAACTTTAACTGAAAATTCACAAAAATACATCATGAATTTTCAATTAGTCAACAAAAAATAATTTATTACAATTAAGAACCATGACTTCTTATTGGAATAGACAGGTTTAACTGCTATGCTACTCTTTGCTAAAATTCACAATCATGCTTTATAAATTGATTAAAAAAATTGTGTAGTTAAATCTTGCCTCCCAAGGTAGAAGAAGAAGAAAATTTGGCCTCCCTAAAATATAATTTGAGATCCATCACTACTTATTGAGATTTGATGGTTCGAGGTTTATAATTATTATTAATATTCTTATGAGTTCCTTCGTTGTCATTTTTCTTTCGTTCTTTTGTGTTTTATTACTTTTGATGGTTTCTTAATTGTTTTGATAATGTCAAGTAACAAACATGTTGCTCTTAGGAGGCAGTTTCACCATATAGCTATATAGTACCAGAAGACTGAACATACATACATATATACATATATATCTGACAAGGCAATGACACGTTTAAGGGCCTAATCGTGTGTGTGTGTGTATCTGACAAGGCAATGACACGTTTAAGGGCCTAATCATGACTACACAGCGTAAATAGTCCTTCCTTGTTTCAGACCCTTTGGCATGGCTGGCAAGGACATGGACCACTCAGAAAATAAAGCGCACCGAATTAACTTGGAAAATCAATTGATTTTATGATATAGGTTTTGACTTTGAGAGACCATTCTGATGATTTTTTTCCTTTTCTTTCGTTACAAGCATTCTCATGGTGAATTTTAAACCCACTGTGACAATGTTCATATACTTTTTTGTCATCATATGAATTACTGTCAAGTAGGCCACACCTCATTTTGCACAAATGCTGCAGACGCTTCTAGCTATATATGCACCGCACACACTCTTTCTACAATCAATTTAAGCATATCGCATGCAAGCTGCAGCAAGCAAGCACTATGAAAATGGAAGCTCATGCATGGAACCACTATTCTACACCGATTCTTATCTTTATTTCCCTTAAGAGATTGTTTGAACTCCGGCACGATTTGTGATTTTAACACATATGGGTCAGAAGCAGAGACATAACGGGTTATGAAACAAATTTCGGATTACACGCTACGATCAAGTCCCTGAAACGAATCCCAATATCAAAACTTCGCAACTCCAAATTAAGAAGCACTGATGTATTCCTCAAAGTAAACGAAATATAATCCTGCTAACCAAAAATGTACGGTCACGTTCATGCATAGCACAGCCCACATCTAGGGCGACAGTCCTTCATAGTACACGTCGGGCTCAGTGGTAATGATGAAGGGAATCAATAAAAGAAGAGTCATGTTACTTATATATATAATATCGGAAATACTGTAAATTATAATGCGATTCGATTATAAAAATGTATCATTCATTTTTTGTTGACAAAAGAAGTTTCTATGTTTTTGGTGACAAAGATTGTTTCCTGTGTCTTCTGTTTGCCCCTCGACCCCCCAACCCCCCACACCCCCCCCCCCCAAAAAAAAAACCGAACAATATAAAATGGTTCAGCCCCTTAAAAAAAAAAAAAACAGAGAGAGGCAGGCCTGACTTTGATTGATTAACGACGTTGCCGGTCTTGATTGGTAATGCACGTGCTTTCCCTTGAAGCTTGGATGAGAGAAATTTGTCTGTTGCTGCTAATCCAAAATATGTTCTCTGGATAAGTGAAGAGATAAATTTCAGATAGAGTCAGGTTGAAAGATTCAAGTTATCGTTAATACATAAAAAACGGACAAAGTGACAGGAATAATACAGTAAGAGGTAAAAGTGTATGTCATGTAAGCATCAGTATGCCGCTGCGCCTCATTATTCAGTCGCTATTTAAGTTGTATGAAGAGAACAGGAGGGGTGCATATCTGAAATCTGAACCTGATTTTGCAACCCAGAAAATGAAGTGTGATATGCCAGTGACTGCACAGGGATAGATTAAAAATTATTTCTCCAATATTGAGCGAGGGAGTTCATATTTTATTTCTCTTTCTCAATGGGAAAGATGAATATGGCGTGATAAGGTGCAACTGCTCTGATCACATGCCGCAATACAAGGAACCCAAACGGAGACATCCCATTCCTACTTTGGCTGTATCCCTCTCTATCAATATCGTCTCCCCCAATAAAAATAAACTTGACATTGAAAATAATATAGATTATAAAAATTAACCATAAAACCCTTCAAAAAAATAAAAAAAATAAAAAAAACCACAGCTGTAAATACATGTCTGTTAGTGGGAGGTAGCCCCTCACTTCCGGTGAAATTTTAGGCCTTGTGCTGTTTCTGGCTCCTAGTTGTCTTGTATATATCTATATATAATATTTTTGGGGTTTTCTCTTCTCTGGCCTCTGTTTCTTCTTCTAAAATAATTTTTAAATAATCTCGGCTTGTTGTTTAAGGGCACGTCATCCCAGGTAGAAAGTGTTTCCCTTTTCGGGCCTCCTACCTTTCTACCCCCGCTGCATTTTTATCATTTGTCTTTCCATGTTCCATCACCTCAATTCAAATCCTCAAGCAATATATATTGCTTGCTTCGGCGGCATACATATTCAGTTACTGCCCTTTGCTCCGTCCCATTTTTCCCATTTTGGTAACTAAATAGTAAATCCTCTTTGCTTACTGTAGTCTCCTCCTCCTGCTGCTTCTTTTCTCCTGAAATTGGAGCCAGCTTAGCTTTCAAAAATCCCTCTCCCTTTTCACTTGAGGTTTCGTTCTTCCTTACTCTCCGGCTTCTCTGAAATGGAACATGATAATCATGTCATATGCGGTCACAGACTTAGCTTGATTAGCATTTCTTTTTTGTTTCTGATAATTTCAAGCTGGATACAGCAGGGATCCGTCACTGAAGGTAAATGGTACGGTCTTGTTTTAGACGCCGAGAAAACATGTTTGAAGTGAAGACTTACTAACAATGTCTGGTTATATGGTGTAATGGAACAGGTAGGGAAGGTGTCAAGAAAACAGGGTTCAGCCAGGTAGGACTCAACTCGGTTCAAAATGTTATTGTGGCTGTCATGAGTAGCATAATGAAACAATTTTCTGTAGGCTGGTGAGGACAAGTCAACGGTGAGGGCACAGATAGGGTCAAGGCCACCAAGATGTGAGAGAAGGTGCAGCTGGTGTGGCCACTGTGAAGCTGTTCAAGTTCCTACAAATCCCCAGATGCAGAATGCCAAGCGCAAGTCTTCAACCGTATCCACTGTTGCATCCGTCAAGGGAGATGACTATTCCAACTACAAGCCGATGAGTTGGAAGTGTAAATGTGGGAACCTCATTTTAAACCCCTGATTTGGTTTCTTTAGATATTCATGGTAATTGGAAGCCATTCATTTTGTCAACCCTTTATATAAATATAAATCTTACCTCCCAATGTGAGGAGACTGAGTAGTCAAGTATTTCTGCTGTAATTACTTCATATCCCTCTAAATCTGTCCTCCATTTCTCTTATGGCGACAGGTGTTATTGGTTTATCTGTTGTGTGATCTCTGATTTCATGATTCTGTGGGCTTAGGTCTCTGTGTGTGTCTGTGTTGGCGCCAAAAGCCTGTTACCCTTAATTTCTTTGTTTTGGCTTGGGGGTTGTTATTGTTTGTCAGTAAAATCTTATGCTGATGAGAACAACTTGAACAATCCCTTGTCAATTCTGATAATTATTTATGACAATTTTGGAGGTTTGGGTGGCAATGTCTCGGTTTTGTGAGAACCAAAATGAATTGATTAAAGAAAAACGCGCCCCCGTCTTTGACGATTTAAATTTAAGGATCCTTTGCGTAACTTATTATAAAGTGGGGGAAAGGTCAGGTGTAAAACTGTTTAAAAAACCGCCAGTAATTCGTGAAAAGAAGAAATCCCAAGGCAATACATTCTCTGCAATCTGCAACATGCAGTCAGCGCAAGCACCAACAGAAATCAAGGGCTAACTTTTTATCGTCCTCGTAATTTTCATATTTTCGGGAGTGCAATGTGCTTTGCTGGCTGAGAAATTATGGAAGTAGCAAATAAATCATAACAACCATGTATTGTGATGACTAATACATCTTCTTACATAACAGCCAAACAACAAAAGCAATAGCTCAGATTACCAGTCACTGAAGGAAGCAAGACGTTCCTCCAAGAAACCTAGGATCAGTGTTCAGTGATATTCAAGGTTATACATTTCGATTTTCGAGCCCAAAAAAAAAAATGGTAGCCATTGCCCCTTTTTCTAAAAAATGACAATGGACACAAAAAGTATCCAAGTAGGCAATATCTCAAAATGACACTACGATAACGGGTCAGCTGATCGATATAACAATCTCTTGCGATCTTTTATTTAAATGCGAAGGCTGAGTAGCTTCTGTTTGGAGTTATTTTGCAACGTGACCATATGCTTGTATTGTATACTGATTCACGATTTCTGCATTTTGGTAAAAGATTATGAACAGAAAGATTCGATTACGGCTTCATATTCAATCACTCATAGCCATCTTTTCTGAGTGACAGCAGGGTGCGCATGGATCGAGGAGAATGAGGCCAAACTACCTGATAACCAGTATTGTATAGCGAGAAAAAAAAGTAGAAGTTGAGCCTTTTTTTCTAATAATTTTCAAAGCAAAGGGAACAAAACTCGTATTATACACGACTTGACATTTTACTCTAGACTTTCTGTTTGTGCCTATGAATATGATGTTGGCTATGACTGGGGATAATTGCATCTTTCTATAATTCATTCTCTCCGATTCCAGGAGTACAGGATTGACAGATGGATTATTATTATTGAAGAAATGTGATGCTGGCGCAACAGTATTGAAATTCAAAGAAGCGTTTGTCGTGAAGCAAATTAGAAGCCCGTGGAATCGCTTCTTGAAAAAGCTGGGCAGGCATCAACCTGATGTAGATTTCAAAAGTGGCAACACTCGCAACCTTTCCCTATTATGTGAACAACAACTGCATGTTGGTGCTAGCAGACATGGACATAAATAATCCCATTCAAATTCATGATGAACTAGTCATTGGAATTTAACATGTAAAAATGCGCTAGTGGCGACGGAAGATGAGTAGAGAAGGAACAAATTAAAAGCCTTTGAATTAAATATATGTGAAAGTGAATGATAGGTTTAAAACCCGAGGAGAAGGATACTAGTGGCAGCACTCACGTGAGGCAAGCGGGGGAAGAACTGGGAGGCGAGAAGAGCATAAAGCCAGAAAGGTGCATCACAGACTCGTTAAGAATGTTGGAGCAAAGGTCAGGAGTGAAGACAGGCACAACTGAAAAGCTCGGGGACCACAAGAAGAAAAAGGGATTCTGATTCCCATCGGGGACTAGCTTTTGCTGAAACATTTTGGTGTGCTGTAAATATCAGCAACAAGGCTTTGAAGTTGCCATGTCTCTGTGGCCAGGACAAACGGTACTGCACTAAGCTACCAAATACAAGACAGCCAACTATCTGATGCCCATGCTCCCAGGTCCCAGCAGGTGTTCCTTTTCCTTGCTTTCCTTCTGCGACACTGCCCAGAATTGGGCCTCGTCAAGTCGCCCAAGGTTAAACACACGCCATAGTTTTTGGGTGCATCCATTTACCTTGTGGGTTTTGGGCAAAAAGGAAGAGTTACATTGAAAATGAACTCTTGTTGCTCCGGGATGGCCACAATTCGTCAATTTTACATTCTACTATGCCAGGCTTCAAAATGGGGCTTTTATTCTGAGACCATACTTTTATTTTGGGTAACAATGTATTGGGTTGGGAGAGTATATAGCAATACACATTTAACTTCGGTTTTGTTTCCTTGATGAGCCCATTGTTCTTCATTTTTTGGTACAAAAAAAAGGGAAAAGACGTGATTACAACAACGGAAATCCGCTGGAGGGGATTGGAATCCCAATGACTCCGTTTGCGCAAGGTCCCTTAAAAACATAGGAACAGAACTAAATAAAGAGGATGAGCTGATTCTTTGTTAGGCCAGCTGGTCTGCTACCTCATTTTGACCTTGTGGCACATTGTTCTTCTCACTATCCATATGTCAAACGGAAACCCTGACCCGACTCGTACATGCCACAATTCCAGCTTACAGCGTTTGGTAAATCCCAGATTTTCGGGTGATCACGGAAATTATTTGTATTTTTTTTATTTGAGTAGAGTAACGTAATTTTCTATTTGACTTCACTTAACAGCGTTTTTAAAATAAATCCACCATCTCATGCTAAATTTAAGGCTCATTTTTTTTTTCATTTTTTAATGAAAAATAAATTTTCTAAAAATAATATTTTTAAAAAAGTTTGATGCCATTGGTTTGAGCTTCTATAAATAATTATAATCTTAAAATATATTTATATTTTCAAATTTATTTTAAGTAGCTTCTAAAAATAATATAATTAGATAAATAAGGGAGAATTTTGATAAACGGAAATATCATAGAATTTAAAAATTATCAGATAATAAATTTTTTTATGATTTAAACAAATGCAAAATGATTTATATTTTTCATAAAATATCTAAACAATGCATAACTTTTTATGAACTCTCTAATTGAAAACCTGATTTTGTATCAATTTCATTACTTTTAATTTACTGTTACGTTAAAAGATAAAGTTAAACTCATGAATAAAATTTACTTCTTCGGTGAAAAATCGAAAGAGAGACTTTTATAAAATAACCACTTTTGCAAATATTAAGGATGGTATGTAGGCATAGTTTATGAGAACTCAAGGACTATCAAACCATAGTAGCAAAAATTTGAGAGAACATTAGTATAATTATTATGTAAATTAGTATAATTATTATGTAAATTTATAACGTAGGGGTTAAATAAAAAAATGATGAAAATTGAAAATAACGGAATAATTAATTTCCTGTGTGGGTCCTTAAGATGCCACATGTGAGATTGGGATCCAGAAAATTTTCTCCTCCAGTTAGCCTCATGACGTTGGTGATCGTTTGTGTCAAATCGCCACTTGGCACATGCCATCAAATATGAAAGATCTCATGTCCATCGTATTGCATTGCACCCCTCAAAGCTTGTTATCCCCGTCTTAACTCCGCCTCTATTTTGCAGGTATCAGATCTAACATCAGTTTTTGAGCAAACTCAAAACCACGATCTTCCAGAATATTGTTCATTTCTCTCTGACATTCTCAAGGCACTGGAACAGCAAAGTCTTCCCTCTTGCCACCGCCTCTTGCTGCCGTTGTCTATTTTTCATGCACAATTGCTCCATCCCCCCGAATTAGAGGATAGAATGCTTCCTTGATATCACTGCCATTTCCGGATCTGCGGAGGTGTTTCTTCCCGGTACGTTTAATGCCTTCATAGTAATGCTTTTCTATTTTTACTGTTCTCCACGGGTTTCTTCAATTTATGAGATTGCAATTCGGTCACTTCAGATCTTTATGGCTTTACGATTACCTTCGAGCATGCCTTTCTTGCATCAGCATTTGATCCGCAACTTCCGATTCTCTTTCCAACTGCTTTGGCTTCGGAATTCGTGTGATGCGTGTTAACTCGTACCCTCCGAGTTGATATTTGATAATGAAAACATGATCGTCTCTTGTTTGTTCAACCTTTCAACGTGCTTTTATCTTCTTTAACTGATGCCGGTTTCCGGTTTCATATGATGGTCAAGAGTCGAGTCCTGTTCATACCTGATTTGATTCACCCGTGCCTCATGATATCAGTAATGCTGGTGAAATGTGTTCTTGGTGTTGTAAAATCTGGAATGTGCACATATTTTTGAGAAAACGTGATGAGGGAGATCTTGATTTTTATTACTTTCTTATGAACTACGTAACAGTCCCATGTGATCAGGTGCCTGAGAAAGTTGAATCCCGAGTAAGAAACATTCAGTTTCAGAGATGTTCAGGTCATCTCCAAGGAGGAGTCAAAGATCCAAAGGCTTCAAGGTGAAGCATGCCATACAAATCTGTCTCCTGCTTGCCGTTGGTCTCTGGATGGTTTACCAAGTGAGACACTCGCATGAAAAGAAAGTATCATACAGTAAGAGCATCAAAGCTGACCGTGAAGTTTCGAAGTTGGGGAGGAAGGACCCCCGTCGTCCTGCGATGGAAGAAATTTCTATTGTAGATGCAAGACACAAAGAGGACAACGACGAAGTAAGCAAGCATGAAGAAGAACTCAAGCTCCATGAGATTAATAATGTGGATGACGATGCACAGTCGCAAAAGCATGGGCAAAACAATGAGGAGGAGTTTGATCATAGACAGGATTCTATAGATCAAGAAAGAGAGAGCGAAGAGAATTCTGAAAATGCCACGACAGATAAGGAAAGTGAGGAGCATAACGAGAAATTTAGTGAAGAAAATGACAGCAAGGGGAATGAAGAAAACATAGATGAAGTGGAGGAAAAGGAGACAAGAGAGAGCCAACAGGAGAATGAAGAGACAAGAGAGACAGAAAGAGAAGGTAAGGAGATCGAAGAGATCAGCGAAAAGGAACATGTGGAGAATAGTCAACGGCGGGAAGATAAAGAAGACAGGGAAGATAACCATGACACAGAAAAATACGAAGAGCATAATCAGATTCTAGAACAAATTTCATCCGAAGATCAGATTCAGGAGGGGGAAAGAAGCAATGACAAGGCCAGAGAGGAGCATTATACAGGAGACAATGCCTCCAGTGCCGTAGATCATAAGACACAAGATATCTCAGATGAAATTGATAGCAAGACAGAACACTTTGAAAAGGGAGATAAGAATGAGTTTCAGCAGAGCAATTTCGATCAGAATAAATCAGTTCCAAATGCAACAGAATCAGAAACAACTGCAAATACCGATTCTACAGTCACAACCAACCAAGGGGATGGTAGTGAGAATCAGACGCAAACAGAGAATGATTCAAAGAAAAGTTCCAAGGCAGGGTCAGATGTGGAGCAGAAGGAGCACTATAACCCCAACAAAGATGATGAAGATCCTCTGGATTCGCCATTGCAGAATGGGAGAGATGCAATATCTAGTACAAAACATATGAATACATCCGATGATACAAACTCCGAGGTAGAGGAGTCCAGCTTGCACAATACCACGCTAAAAACAGAGAATTCTGATCCAGATGCCACAGAGAAGCAAGCCGGTTCCGCATCATCATCTTCATCTGGAAGCCATAACACAGATGTTGCCAGTGGAGAATCCAAGGACAGCTCTAGTAAATCTGCTCAGGGTGAAAAGCCTCACAGTAATTCTGCCAAAGAAGGAACAGAAGAGAATGTTTTAATGTCCAATGCGAATGATAAATTGGATTCTAACCAAGAGGTGCATCTCACTTACTCTGATACTTCATCCAAACAGAAGAGAGGTAAATCCTCGAAATCAGAATTCGATGGTGATTCTGCTCACAATGACAATGCAAAAACTGATCAGAGCAGAACAAGCAGTGGTGAAAGGGGTAATGACAATATAGATACGAGCCAAGAACGAGTCAATCCTCCTGACACTTCCTCCAAGCAGAACAAAGATGAATCCTTGATCTCAGAATATAAAAGTGATGCTGACAGGGATAATTTCAATTACACTGAAGAAATTAATGACAAAGTGAATGCTAGTAAAGATGTGCCAATCAGCACCTCTGATTCTTCGAATCCTGAAGATAAAGAGGCTTCCTCTGAGGATACGGCTGACGTAGGGCAGAATGAAAATAAGAGCACCGATCAAAGGGAAACGCACGAAAACGAAGATGGGGGTCAAAATGTATCAGTTGAATCTCAAAATGAGAAAGAGTACGCGGAAAACTCAAACGACAATGGCAATGCCGATTCATCAATCCATGAGGATATTAAAGAGGCTCGAATGGATTTGGGAACTTTGCCTGAGAGCAACACAGAAACCCATCATCACAATGATGATACTGCCACGGATAGATGATTGAAATAAATAAACTATACATGCAGCTAGCTTCTGTCTTAGTTATCATGAGATATGTATGATTCATTGCATAGCCAATAATATGCTATATGGGCTTAGTTTTGTTAGTTTGATATGTATAACATTCTTCGGGCTTCTTGCCATTTCCTGCGGAACAAGCGTCCAACCAAAAACATCAGAAACACGGCGGGAAGAATTCTTGCAATTTCTATATGTTTAATCCATTTGAAGATTTGAATTCCTTCATATGTGGACCAGCTTATTTTCTGAAACCATTAGCTTTCAATTAAAATGACCATTTTTTTTTAATACAAAATGGCCAAGTTCTTGCATGAGCGTCGATTGTCTCTTAATTTGTGAGTGCAATCTTTCTCCATTTTCCGTCCAACAAAGAGAATGGCGCGTGAAAAAGGGTCACTACGATTCAGTAATCAATGCATTTAAGAGACGATGGATGCTCCATGGGGAGAAAACTAAAACGTAACATGGGGAGAAATAGAGACTAGAATTATTTCCATTCCCTCCATCAATGCATTTCCTCATATTCAATTTCATTTATTTATTTAATTTAATGGTATAAGATTGGTAATTATAATATTAAATATATATTATTCATTTAAACCAAATGAATAGTTAAATGGATAAATGAGATTGAATATAAAAGAAAGTATTAAGAGGGTATGAAAATATTGAAAATTTTATGTAGACATTTTGTTCTTCACTATTTTTTCATGGGGTGGGAGGATTGCCTATCCTTGGCTTGATTTGCCACTTCCTCAATTGGCATGGATTGTAGTTTAACTGACAAATCAGTCTGAAGACAACACTAATTACTCTAACTGTACCCATCACCAATGATTTCTCCGATTAAAAGGTAATTTAATGACTTAAGCTTTGATTATATTGAGTTTCAGGACAAAGAATCAATCAATTAAAATTAGAAGACTCAAACTTATAGTGAGCTACTTATCAACTTGTAGTTGTACTGCATGCATGTATGATCCTTATTAGACAAAATATTCTCTTTCTTTTTGGTGACGAACAGTAGAGAATGAGTGGAAGCAATGGAGGTACGGAGGAACGTGTTAGTGATCTCGGTGGGAGTCGTGAATGTGATAAAGAAGGTATTGGTCCAGATCTAAATAAACTTGATATAGTTTTTTCAGTGGGGAAGGAGGGTATTAGGGCTGAGGAGGAGGAACAGGAGAGGGTAGGTAAGACAGGGAGACGTCGTCATGTACTTGTTTCCTTCAAAGACAAATTGCTGTCCCTTAGTGGTTCTGGCTTTCTCATGAAGCATGATGAAGAAGATGATATTGTTCAGGGATGGAAGTCATATTTTATTAAAAAGAATAAAAAGGCTAAGAAAAAGCATGCAGACGTCGAGTAGAGATGTAACAAGGATGGAGAGGAAGGGGAGAATTTGATCAAGGAGGATGGGAAGCCGACAATTCCAAAACTTCAGTTTACATCTGAGGAATATAGTACTTGGTACAAACAATGGAAGAATTCTTTGATTGTGAAATTGTTAGGGGTGCCTATTTTGAAATAGAGTCTTGAGATCAGAATGAATAGAATGTGAAAGCCACAGGGGGCACTTAAGGTCATACCTTTAAATAATGGCTACCATATTTTTTCTTTCATGAATGTTGAGGATAGGGACAATGCCTTCTAAGAAGACCATTGGATGATCGACGATCACTATCTCTTAGTGCAACGTTGGTGACCAAATTTTAATCCTTGGAAAGCTTATAGGTAAAGGAGAATTGTTATATGGATTAAAATTCTAGATTTACCTATGGAGTTTTATAATATTGAATCACTCTAGAAAATTAGTAACATGATTGGAAAAATCTTAAAAATTGATCTTTCAACTTCAATTCATAATAAGGGTGGTTTCACTAGGATTTGCATTGAAATTGATTTGGGCCAACTATTGTTACCAGCTTTTGAGGCGTTTGGGGAAGATAGAATTATTGTTTATGAGGGTCTTCATCAAGTTTGTTTTACTTGTAGGAAGTATGGACTTCAAGCAAAAGATTTCCCTTCACTAATGCAATCAATGAGTAGTCATCACGAGATAGATGCTTCAAAGAGGGATTAGTTGATGGTGGCAAAACAAGGAAAGACAGTGGTGAACCTTGGACCCAAGAATTTGATCTAGAGAGATTTGTGTAGGTCATCAAAAGCTATAGATTTGAAAGGGTATGATGAAGAATCAAAATGGGGGGAGATATTCGGGGGAAATAAGCAAGGATCATAGGTATTCAAATATAAAGGAGTTAATGAAGGGATTTCAAAAGCATCGAGCAAGGATATGGTTGTGAGAAAGTTTGGAAAGGATATAAATGGAAGGGAATCTAAAGCATGGGTCCCAGTAGAGAACAAAAGAAAAGGTGAAACAAGAATTATACTAAGGGGAAAAGAAAATCACACACATGAAAGGGATATATCTATAATGGTTAATGTAATGGATTTGGGCTTAGCAACAAGGCCCATTATGATTTCTAATCATTTTGATGTTTTGAGAAAAACTTATCTGAAACAAGTGAGAGTAACATGATAATGAAATGGCCTACTTATATAATAACTTGTTAGTTATGGAATGTGAAAATTATAGGAATATGGGCTTGGCTTGTGATATGGAAAAAATGTAACATCCCAATTTAAATTTTAATAGTTAATTTGGGTTAATAAAATTTTAAAAAATATTTAGAGGTAAATAAATTAGTAGGAAAAGATCATTAAATCTAACTTAGGATATAATTCTAAATTAAATTTTTTTAAAAAAAATTAATTAAAAAAATTATTATTAATTAATTAATTAAAAAATATTATTAAATTATTATTATAAAAAAAAGGTATGCAAAAAAAAAAAGGAAGAAGAAGAAGAACAAAATTACTTTCGGCCGCCAACAACAATCATTGTATATAATAATAATATAAAAAAAAAGGAGGAGAGAGAGAAAAGAAGAAATAATAAAAAAAAAGATGTGAGACCCACTGAATTTTTATAAAAACCCACCTGTTCCTTCATTTTTTTTTCATTCATTCCTTCGTGCGTGCTGAGGCAGAGAGAACGCGAGTCGCCGGTGTGAAATATCTAAATTTTTAAGGTAAGAGTTTTTAATAGAATATTTAGGGTGTGATTTTAAACTTTTCAAAACTAAGTAAGTGTTCTAAAAAATTTTCTTAGTCATCCTTCTTCTTTGGTTTCTGAGTTTGTAGTGGTAGAAAATTTAAGATCTGGAAGAGGAATGAATTTATGTTGAATAAATATAATTTTTGAGGTTGTCAGTAGTATAATAAATATTCTAGAGTATAAATTTGTTGATGATCTTTAAATTTATGGCTTATGGATCAAATTCTAAACTAGATCTGAAAATATATGTTGATTTATTAAGGTTTAGATGATTATTTGGGATGAAAAATGAATTATTATGGCTATAGGATTATGATTCTAAGCTAGAGACTCAATTTTTAATTTTTGAATATTTTAGGTGCGAATTTATAAAATAAAAAGAAAATTTTGATAATAGAAATTAGTTTAAAATTTGATTTTTAGATTATTAATGTTTATTGATAATTAAAAGAGGAGTTAAAAATTTTACTTAATAGTATTAACTATAGATTTGTATTAAGATTGAGATTAGAAATTATGTTATATTTTTAATTCTATTATTAGAATTATTTTATTAGTTTTAAAAATTGAAACTAATATTTATAAATAATATGTTATTTGTAGATTGTATTACTGGTGAAGATTGTGGTAAGAGAGAAATTTTAAGGAATAATTTATTGAAAAAGCCACAAGGTAACCATGCTTTTAATTTGTGATTAGTGTTACTTCATGTTAATTGGGTGATTATTGAGAAATTTATAAATTTTGTAATATTATATAATTGTGTAATATTATTATGAATTTATTTGATTATTGTGGGAGGTGTTGGGAGACTTGCTATTGTTGTTGTATTTATGTGCCACGTGGTACGCCCCTATTGGAGCTCAATAGGTGGTTTGTAAGGGCTCGAGCTAATCTACCTTTGGCCAGGTAATTTAGCACCGAATGAGGGCTAAGGCTCGAGGTTAATGGAGGGATATAAGGATGGTTGTTTGTGTGTATTGTAATATTTCTTATATTTATTGGAATTATATTATTTTTAATTCTTACTTAGTAAGCACACACTTAACTGTTTGTATACACTATCATAAATTGGCTTTGGTTACTGGGACTTTTGAGTCTCATTATGTGGTTAACAATTTTCAGGAGAAGAGCCACGAGTGACACGTGGAGGAGTCCCAGAGGCTTAGTGGTATAAATTCACTGTCTTTTTTAGGTATTTAATTTATGATTTATAATGTGTTATATTGCCAATATTAGGGCTTTTTGTTTATTGTCAATTATATGAATATATAAATGTAATCGTGCCTTTCAAACTATTTCTATTTTTGGTACAATTTGGATGACTGTAATTTTAATATTTGGTTTACTTTGGATTGGTTAAAATGGCATGATTATAAGGTCAAATAACTGGCTTGTGTTGAAAATTGACTAAATTGCTTATTTTATTTGTTGGGAGTATAAGGATGGACAAATGTGATTTAGTTTACTTGTTAGGAGTATAAGGATGGACAAATGTGATTTAGCCTAATGGCATGTGGGAGGTAAAAATTTATCTGAAATGTTATAGTGTGTAAGTTGAAGCCAATTATAAAATATTTTATATTAAAATTATTGATATAAGAATGTATTGGGTGGCTGTAACCCAACTATGGTTGAGTTAAATTATTTAAAAAAAAATTTGGTGTGTTACAAAAAGGAGTCTTTATGCATGCGAGCCTTGTAAAAGATCAATAAATTTGCATGGGCTCTATCGTAAACAGTGGACTTACCATCAATGCTAACGCAGGATTAGAGATGAGTTTATCGAGTCACATGGCTGTGGACAACCAATTGAATGGTCAACATGAACGCGATACAATGTAGGTCCATGTTAGTTCTTCTTTTAAGGGGCTAGCACTCCTGTTGAATAAGGTTTCCCCATGAATTGTATGATATGGAATTCTAGGGGTATGGGGGCAAAATCTTTTCCTAGCCTTACACGTGACTTGAAAAAACATTACTGTTTGGATTTTTTGGCTATTGTGAAAACATAGGTGTTTAAGGAGAAAGCTTCAAGTACTATAAAACAACTTGGGTTTATTTTGATTCAGTTGATGCTAAAGGAGTTAGTAGTGGTATTTGGTGCTTGTGGAATAATAAATTTAAATTTATGGAAGTAGTTCGGCGTCACTATTAGTTTTTGCATTTTAAAATTGAGGGCTTGCACAATGATTTTAGGTTTCTAACTGTCATCTATGCCAATCCTAATGTTGGCAAACAGGATTTATGGCATAAATTATGTAGCTTAAATAATCAGATACAACATTCTACTTGGCTCATTGGAGGTGATTTTAATGCTACTTTACTAGGCAGAGAGCATGTTTCTTAAGCTTTATCTCAAATGTCGATTGATAGAGACTTTGGGCGCTGGTTTGAGGAAGCTACCTTAATTGATCTTAGGTTTGTAGGGCTACCTTTTACTTGGAAATGGGGATGTTCTGAAGCTAGACTTGATCATTTTATTACTAATGAACGGTGGACAAATTTATTTCCTAATGCTAATGTTATGCATTTGCCAAGTTTTAAGTCTAATCATCGACTAAGTTTGCTTAAGTATGGGGTTAACTTCTCTCAAAACATGGACAAAACTTTTCAGTTTATTGCTTCCTAGGTATTGCATGAATTTGGTGAGCATATAGAGGCAAGTTGGAATATGTAGTTCCATTAAAAACAATGGAGCAATTTGCTGAGGCTTGCAAGCATTAGAATAAGAATGTTTTTGGTCATACAGAATACAAGAAGAAGAAGCTACTTTATAGACTTGATGGTGTTGCAAAGCAGATTTTGAGAGGTTATAACATTGAATATTATGAGGCTTTTCATTTGAAGTTACGGAAAGAGCTTGAGGACACTATTATTCAAGACTCATTACTTTGGGTGCAAAAAGTGAGACTAAAATGGCATGTGTTTGGAGATCAAAATACAAAGTTTTTTCATTCGTATGCTAATCAAAGACATAAACTAAATAGAATTGAAGCTTTAAAAGAGGATGATGGTAATTGGTGCTATGACTTGGCTCGTATTCAAAATATGGTATGCCATTATTTCTTTTCCTTGTTCTAGAAGGAGTCAGGTACATGAATCTATTAATAATGGCGTTTCCTTTCTTGTGCCTGAGAGTTTCGTGTTATAGTGGTGTGGGTCTATGGTTCGTGAGGAGGAGATTAACGAAGCATTATTTGATATAGGGCCCCAGCTCCTGGTTTGGATGGCTTTAATACGCTCTTTTATCAAAATCAATAGGATAAGGTTGGCAAATTTGTTGTGCATATGGTATAGTTTATTTTTGAAAACCTAAAGGCTATCAAGAATGTTAATAGTACTCTCATTATTCTTATTCTGAAGAAATATCCTCCTGAAACTCTTTGTGATTTAAGACCTATTAGCTTGTGCAATGTGATTTATAAGGTTGTTACTAAAGTGATTGCTACGAGAATTCATACTTTTCTCCCTCATGTGATATCCCCAAAGTAATGTAGTTTCGTTCTAAGGCAACATAGCTTTGATAATATTATAGTGGCTTAGGAGGTAATTCATTCTATGAAAACTATGAAGAGTAAGAAAGGTTTTATGGCCATTAAAACTGATTTGGAAAAAGCTTATGATCGAGTTAATTGAAAATTTGTTGAGACTTGTCTCTAAGAACTACAACTTCTTAAGAACATGATTAAACTCATATCTTTGGAATGAGGCCAAAACTGAAACATTTACATTGTCACATAGAGGAAGACAAGGTGATCCTTTATTCCTTTACTTATTTGTGATTTGTATGAAGAAATTATCTTGCCTTATCCAATCTATGATGAATGAGGAATTATGGAAACCTATACATCTCATGAAGATAAGCTCGCCAATTTTCCACCTTTTCTTTACAGATAATATTATTCTTTTTGTAGAAGCTAGCATATAGCAAGCTGAGCTTATTAAGAGGTGTCTTGATACCTTTTGTGCAGCTTCTAGCTTAAAGTTAAACTGTGTTTTAAGACTTGTATGTTCTTTTTTGAAATAGTGAATCATACCAGGTACTCTGAGATTAGTCCTTGTCTGAGTTTCTCTCTACCATAGATCTAGGTAAATATCTTAGGGTTCCATTGCTTTATAAAAGAGTAAGTAAAGATACTTTTCAGGATACAGTTGACAAAGTCAAAACTAGATTGTCAAGATGGCAACCTAGTTCACTTTCTCTTGCTAGATGAACTGCCTTGGTATCCCCTGTGACTTCTGCTATTCTAGGGCATGTTATGCAAACTTCATTACTTCCATTGTCTATTTGCGAGATTCTTGATAAGTGTAATCAAGACTTCATTTAGGGTAGGTCTAATGAAAGGAGGAAAATTCACCTCATAGCTTAGGACACAGTGTGTAAGCCTAAAAAGCAAGGAGGATTGGGACTTCATCATGCTCAAAATCAACATGCTACCTTCCTCGTGAAGCTTGGTTGGGATCTGTGCCATAAACGTGATGAGTTTTGGGTTAATATCATCAATAACAAATGCCATTATGGTGATGACTTGCTTTCTAAGATTGATTATTAAGTGTGCGAGCTCTAACGTGTAGGTTGGAATCAAGGCAACTTGGGAAAAAGTAGAAGCAGGTATTAAATAGATAAATGGAGGAACAATAGTTAGATGGTGTGGGAGAAGAATGGGTTATTTTCGATAAAATCTGTGTATAATATTGATTACCTTTGATAAACAACATATTAGATGGGAGAAAATCTGTAAGGTTAAAGCCCTACTACGATGTCAAAATTTTTTATAGCTGGCTTATCATGACAAGTTACTTACTAATCATGCCAAATTATAACTTGGCCTGAGTAGTGATGGGTGATGTCCTACATGCAATGAAGAAACAGAGAGCAAGCATCATTCCCTTTGTGATTGTGGTCATATGCAACTCTTGTAGAGAAGACTTATCCCTCAATGTGCGTGAACTTGTTTCTTTTTTTATAACCTAAAGGGCTGGATTATTAACAATATCTCAGAGAGGACTAGTAACTCAAAGACGGACTGGGGAGTGATGTTTATGATCATATGTTAGGGTCTTTAGTAGAAACATAATAGATTCATATTTAACCATAAGCTAACTTGCATAGATGATATTGTGACGCGTGCTAGAGCCATGTCTACTGTTGCTGATGAAGCCTATAGTAGTTTGAATAGGCATAACTCTACTAACTTCAAAGTTGGGAATAGACTAGAAGGGTAGAGACCACTAGCTATAGGGTGGGTGAAAGTTAATGTAGATGGTGCTTATGCCTTAACTAATGCTCTAACTTGTGGTGGACTAATATGTGGGGCCCAAGGTAAATTTCTACACAACTTCGTTTCTAGACTAAATGGAGACGACTGTTTGATAGCAAAAATATGGGCATGCTTGAGGATGATAATGATTTTAATAATTTGCGAAAAATCGGTCTGTAAATTTTGAGGGTGTTACACTTGCTTGGGCTAAATTTGGCGTGGAATTGTGATAGTCAAAACATTCAACTTGAGATTGATTCTACTGATGAATTAGTTGTATTGCAACATAAGCCAAACCCAGAACATTATGATTGTGATCTGATTATTAAGGCTTGTTAGGTTATTAATAAAGAGTAGGAGGTGAAGATTCAATTTATTAGGAGAGCTCATAACAAAATGGCAGACTTTCTTGCTAAGGAAGGACTTAAGGCTTCACCTAGTTTGCATAGGATTATTCAACCACCTAATGATCTTCGTAGGCTGCTTATCTCGGATTGGCCTAGTCAAGTCACAAGGGAGTTTGGTTAGGTAGCATTTTTTTGCTACCTCTTTGTTTTCTTTGTTATCAAAATAGAATTTGAAGACAATCACAGCAAAGCTGAGCATACATCCCCCTAATGAATTCAACCCAACCGTTATATTTCGTTGTTAAGCTAATTCTAGAATTATTTCAATAATAAAATATCATAATATTCTCTCTAATTTCTTATATAACATGTTGTAGAATTTTTTTTTTTTTACGCAGGTTAAGATAAGTAAATTAAATTCCTTCATGTTAAAACATATCCTAATATTTCAATTAAAGCAAACCTCCCCGTGCTTTGTTCAAATTACAAGAGAGTTGTTAAAATTATAAAAGAAAAAATGGAACATCATTTTATTTTTAAAAGGCACCTTATAAAAGGGACCATAGTGAGTAAAGTGTAATTTATTTTCCCTATTTCTTAAATCAAGACCACCGATAAACAATTTATGACACGTCGCCATCATTCTTCATCAAAATTTAATGTCAAATCTTATCTTCTCCAGCACAAGTCTCAAATTGTTTTAAACATCCACCAGGAACCAAGACTAACATCTTGAACACGACACAGAATAGGCAATAGGCATACGGGAAGACTGTAGCCCAGTGTAAAATTTCAAGAAGAAATATTTTCTTAAAAAAAAAAAAAAGCAAGAGCAAAACAAGCAGTGGATGAAAAATTCATCTGTATCCAGGGGAACTTGATTCATGTTTACAATTATACTTCAAAATGAAATGCATTACGAAAATGAGTCTTAGAAACAGTCAATCACGGTCCAAAATAAAAAAGACTCAATCGCCTTCGCCTAATTTCGTCTTTAATCAAGTTCATTGGAAGTTGTCAAAAGATTGACGTACAGAAATACACTATCGAATGTAATTGCAATTTTATTTTACTTAAATGCATGGGAAACAAGCATGAACAAATAATATGTACCGTAAGATATAGATCAAATTTCATAAAAGAATATGAAAATGCCATCATTGGCATTGTCTTAACATCAACAGGGGAAGAGCAATGGTTAAAAGCACAGGTGCCGCAAAATAACCCTGAGCATGACAACGATGCTAGTGTTTCACTTCAAAAAGACCATCTGGACCTGGTCATCACAAAAGAATCATTTTAAACAATCTGTAATTTCAGGTCAAATGATAATTTGAAGAAAATAATTGCCTAGCGGTAATCTAGCAATTTAAAATAGTCGCCAACTTGCCATATATCATACGGGAAAAAGGGTTGGGATAGAAGAAATGAAGCATATATGAGCAGTGTGTATATGAAGCTTAAAGGACCACCATGTATCCAAACACTGGTCTATACCATGCCCAAGAACAAGCTAGGCTGACATCCAAGTTCTCAGAAATTATTGGGCATCCCTTAGGCGGGTACCACATGAACCAGTGTAAAACCGAAGCAATAAACAATCTTGGGAAAAGGTGAAATACAGCCAAACAACAAACTTCATGGGAAAATAGTCTTGCATTTCGCTAAAACTAATTTCAAGTTGAAATCAAATGTTGCGAGGTTGTAATTAGTCATCCAAATAACCAAACACAAGCAGATTTACAAAAGCCATAACTCTTATAAACAGCATCAAATGCATAAAAGAGTATATTTGAACAGAGATTTTTCAGGAAAAAAAAAAAAAAAAGCATAAAGAGAGTATGTTGGCCATATCCTTCATTCCTTTCTCAATTTACAGTATACAACTATCATTATGAATGTACATAACCATATGTGGTTTTCTCTAATATACTAATGTTACAACTTAAAAATTAAAATGTTGCCCTGTACTAACCGGTGTGATAACTAACTACTCACGGTAATGGCTACAATACTAGAAATAGAACAAACTATTTAGAGTAATGGATATTTCCAGCACAAAAGACAGTAAACAAAGTCAGATTACCATATCCAATGAATCATAAAGAAATGAAAAAAACATACCCCATGGAAATTCCTTATTGCGGATGTGTAAATATGGGTATCCCTGTACAACAAAGTAAAAGATATACTGAAAAGATGAATTGCATTGTCACTAAGCATATACGAACACAAAGCAGAAGAATCAGAAAGAGAGCACTGAACAAGGATGCATCTCAAAGCAACAACAATAAAGCACTGGAATGTGTAGAAAGGAAAGCTCACGGGAGGCTCTTCATGGTAATGATGACTCCTTGACAGATTATAAATGGATAAAACAGTGCAGGTAGCAATGCCCAGATATGTAATCTTCTCCCACTTGGCAGTCTCGTCTGGCACAATGAAAATGAAAAATATAACAAAAGCATGACATTAAAAAGGTATTAGCAAAGGGAAGATCAAAACCTAAAGCAGAAGTTCTACCAAATCCGTAACATGAAAACCAGCTTCGCACCCATAACAATGCGACAGCAATCGTTTTGAGATTATTACAACAATTCAAGTGCAACAACAAAACTAAAATCTTGGATAAATTCGGGTAGCGGAACATGTAAAGAATTTTACTTTGCACTTATAACAGTGGAGGAAAGCAATTGTTTAAGGTTATTCCAGCAATTCAAGTGCAAGCTGCGTGTTGCCAAACAGTTGAAAAAGAAAATGATATAGGTGTATAAATCTAAATCTTCCGAATCACCAAGCATTCACGTTAAAAGTAAGGCTTAGCAGTCAATTGGCTAAAACAAAAGGCTTAACAATCAGACATCGGAAATAAATTTCAATATCTTAGTTTCACCCATCAAATCACAAGTTCGAGACGGCACTCTGATGAACAACAAGAAAGAAAGCAATTCAATCATATTCAATGCCTCATTTTTAAACATGAACAAGAGTATATTATAGCAATTTCATAAATACATTCACCGTTTCCCAAATGTATTTACCAAGGGCAATCGACATTAGCCGAATTAAAAAAAAAAAAGTTTCACGAACAAGCCCTCATGCGGAAGAGCCAATCAAACCACAGACGCATCAAATTCCCATTAATGGGAATGATCGTCTTTAAAGCGAAATTGCATGGAAGAAAAACAAAAGCTTACAATTGGATTGTCGTGTATGATGAAAATCAACGCAGAAATTGTAACTTAGAAAAGTGGACGGGTGAGAGTGAGTGAGTGTGTGTGTGTGTGTGTGTGTGTGTGTGTGTGTGTGTGGGTGTAAGGTAGGAAAGGAAGGGGACCAACAAGCATCGTCGTGATGAGCAGAGGAAGCGAAGTTTCTACTAGGAACGGCGGAGCCACGTCCTCCTCCTCGCAGAGCGGTTCGAAGAAGAGTTGATCGCACCAGCGCTGTCGCCATCGCTTAGGTATTACCGTATTAGTCCTGTAATCTCTCGGAACTCCGTTCTTAAACCTCTTTATTAATTTTTTTTTTTTATTGTTGTCCAAGATACTCTCACAACCAATATTTTGAAGGGTATTTAATGAGTTTTTTTTAAATAATATATTTTTATATACACTTTTAAAAATTAAATCATGAAATAATACTTAAAGAGTTTAAATATGCACCATCAGGGCTGTAGAAATCACAAGGCAAGTGAGGCAATTGCCTTAGACCTCCAAAAAATATATATTAATACCTCTATTATATATGTGTGTGTGATTGATATTTATATTATTATATATTTAATTATAAATGAAAAAAATAAAAAGTATTGATTGTTTTTTCTTTTAAAAAGTTCCAACTATTCTTGATATAACATTAATTATTGAGTTAAATTTATTATCTACATAACAAAAAAATAATGAGATCCATAATACACTAATTTATATTGTATTAGCTTGCTTTAAATTTCTCTCACAGTCTTACTTTTTGTTTTCTCCTTTTTTTATTCCAAAGCTTAAAATATTGACAAATATTAATATCAAGACCTTGTATAATTTTAGACCATCAACATAGCACTTTTAAGTCTTATTAAAATTTTATTTATAATTCATATAATTATTATTAATTTTTCACACTAATCATTGATATTAGTAATCTTAATTATATATTTTTTTGTTAAAATGTATTGTCATCCCATATTAGTGTTAACATTTTATCTCAATATATAAGATAGGGTTGAAGCACTTTATCAATACTAATTTTTATTTAATTATTGAATTAATTTAGTATTTTAGTAGAATCACTATATTATAAAATTTTAATATATAATTTTGAAAAAAATGATGAGTGAATTTTTTTTTAAGGGATACTTACATATGCCAAGCTTTATAGGCCTTAAAATATCTTCACACAATTCTGTTCAGCATGTGTGCTCTATCTTTTATTATTGATATTTTTATTTAAAATATAAGAATGTAAAGAGAGGTATTAAAAATTGATAAAAACTTTATAAATATAATCAAATTCTCTCTCTCTCTCTCTCTCTCTCTCTCTCTCTCTCTCTCTCTCTCTCTCTCTCTCTCTCTCTCTCTCTCTCTCTCTCTTCTTATAAACAACACCAAAGAAGTATTAATCACTCCAAGCCACTAGGTTGAAGATGCCTTTCGATGAAGTTGGCTTCTCTCAATTTCCTCTCCACTTTTCATCTCAACTATTAGATTTATTTTTGAATGGTTGAGAGTTAATGTTTTATAAAATTATTATTAAAATGTGAAATTTTATGAAAAATAAATATAATAATAATTTTATAAAATATCAAATCTCAACCATTCAAAAATAAATTCAATAGTTAAGATGAGAAGTGGAGAGAAAATGAAGAGGAAAGGAAATGGAGAGAAGCTAACTCCCATTTCGACTCTAAAATTTAGATGCCAAGTTCTTTTTTTTTTTTGGGACAAAATTTAGATGCCAAGTTCTAATTTTCAGCTTTTGATCTAAAAAAATAATGGTATAATACTCTTTCTCCGTTTCTTTTAAAGTTTGACCTCTGATTAATTAAAATTCAAATTAGCTACTCTTTCTGTTTAAAAATATAAGATATTTTTTGAAAGATTAAATATTTAAAAATATAAAGTGTTTTTAATCTTTTGAGATGTAATATTGTCTTTTTTTTAAAGTATCTTTATTGAATAAATTATATTATATTTATTTTAAGGTGTTTGTAAGGATAAATATAAAAAAAATAAAGGTAGTTTGAAAATAAATAACCACCTTATTGAGATAAACTTTAATTAAAAATACCTTATATTTTTAAATGAAGAGAGTGAGTAATATTATTACATGGTATGAAGTTTAAGTGAGCTTCATTATTTATATTCTATTGATTGATAATGTGATTTTTTTTATGAGAATTTTTATCTTATACTGATTGATTCTTTCATCTCTGTATGTGTGTCAAGCAAAAATGTTCGGGCATTCCATGATGGGGGGAAAAAAATCTGACAGGTTAAACTTGATTTTATTGAAAATGATAAAGTACATAAAACCTTCCTAAATTTTAAAATAATTATATATAACTTCCTCATATTTAAATATTTAAAATTAATCCTCCTAATTTTTAATTTTATTTTTCAAAGTCTCTTACAGTTAATTAAATTTATTATGTTATTAATAAATTTTTTCATGTCAGATTAAGGTACATGACGTGAAAAAAGTATTTTTATAAACTTTTTATCACAATTTAGGGAGGAAAAAAATATAATTTTTACTTTTAACATACATGATAATACTCTCATTTTGTTAATTGAAAGACTTTGTTCTCCTTATTCACTCTTAGCACAATTTTCAAAAAAAAATAATTTTATTATTCTTTATCAATTAAAAAATATTTTGTATCCAATAAATGAAAAGAAAAATACATAAAAAAAACTATCATTGATAAGAATTATATAAATAAAAATTTATGTTTTAATATAATAAAATTGTGTACCATTGATAACAAAAAGCCATAGATAAAACTAGTACAAAAATAAATATTTAAAAAATAATGTAATTTTTATACATTTATTATTGAAAAAACATAATCTTTAGTTCTTAGAGTTTTATCAAATTTTGCTTTTAGTCCTTTAATTTTTTTCAAAATTTTCAGTTCCTATGAAGACTAAAATTATTGAAAAAATGAAAGCTATAAGGATCTAAAAAAAAGGTCACCAAATATTTTTAAAACTATAGGAATTAAAAATTTTGGGAAAAACTATAAGGATTAAAAGTAAAATTTGATGAAACTGTAAGGGCTGAAGAATATATTTACACTTTATTATTTGCTTACTTAAAATGCTAGGTAAGTTTCTATATGGTTTTTCTTAATTTGACATAGCAAACTCCATTAATAACATAATAGAGTAATTGATAGAAGGGGACTTTGGAAAATAAAATTAAACATTTAGGGGTTTAATTTTAAATATTTAAAGATGAGGAGGTCATATGCAATTATCTCAAGGTTCAAAAATTTTTATACGTTTTAGCCATTGGAAAATGACAATTAAAAATTCTAATTTCAATTACAAATATCTAATCACTACAAAAATGAAGGGCGATTGAAAGATAACCTTATTTTCAAGTGGATTATCTAATTGTTATGAGTTTTTTTATCTAAAATCTACAATTAATTCTGTGCAGTTTTATTAATCTAATTGTGAGGAAAAAAGTTTAAGCTAATCCTTCAATATATTGCTGAAATTTCATTGAACTAGGTCAAATTTCAAGTAAATCATTTCAAAAAATCATAGTTTACATTAAGAATTAGTCTGTCTCCCACTAACAAAAATTGAATCTAGTGGATGGGGCTAACCAAAATTTTTAATGTAACTAAAATGTGCATGCATTTAATGTCTGGCTGTGATTTGAATAAAATTGTATCCAATTGAAAAATATTCATGAGCAGTAAAAAATTAGTTCATCTCCCAATTGACCTTCAACGTTGTTTCCAAGTGGATTACTTGGTTGTCATAAGTAATTTAATGTGAATTCACAATTTTATTTCGATGTAGATTACTTGAATTTTACACGTGGTTTAAAGGAAACTGATTTTATGCAATTTTAGCCGTTCATTCACAAATTATAAAATTAATTTTAATTTGAAAGACTATTAAAATTATGTAAAATAATGTAATTATATTTTATTATATAAGATGTAAGCTGTTTTTAAAGATGACGTGTTTAATAAGAGTGAATTGAAAACTTTCATTCTTTCTAGTTCAATATCAATAATTTAACTATATTTCATCCATTCTAGTAGGATAAGTAAAAATAATTTATATATAGTCAACTTCACCCCATGAATTAGTAATACCCAGTAGGATGCTCGGCACAACGGGGCGTCGGCATCTTAACTGAGTCCAGCTATATTAATGTGAATGAACTCACGTGCTTGCTTAGATTCTAGTCGACTTGACTCTCTAATGTCTCATCTCCATTTTTTTAAAATATTATTATTGCATTTGCAAGTCTTTTTTTTTTTTTGGGGGGGGGGGGGAGTAGTACTGATCTTTTTTTAATATTATTATTGAATTTTTCTATGACCTGACTTTAAATGTCTTATTTTATATTCATTAAAGGAAAAACATTGGTTTGCCACATGAAACCGTCCCTAAGCGCATTTGTCAAATCGTTTAATGCATTTAAGAGTTCACAGGTAGGGATACAGCAACAACGATGACCGTCATTTTTTCGGATGGAATTGGTTACATAAATTATACAATCAGTAATTAAAACTATGAGCATACAATTAATCAAAAATTCTCTATTCTCTCTGATCTTCATTTATCTCTATTTATAGAGTTTAAAATTACATGTTCTCATTTTTTTTTTACCGTGTCTCCCATGATAATCTCTTTGCATGTCCAATCTATTTTAACCAATTTTCAACTATCATTTTTTTAGTAAATGCCATGTTCACTTTCTCTCTCTATCTCTATATATATTTATTATGAATTTTATATTTTTATTTTTGTATACCCGCATATCTATTTTTATATATATTACTCTAATTTTCGCCTATACTACTTCTTTCCTGGTTTCTTATAAGAAAGGAAAACAAATACCAACACTATCCACCAACATATATGTAACACACCAATTATTTTTTTTTAAATAATTTAACTCAACCATAGTTGGATTATAGCCACCCAACACATTTTTATATCAATAATTTTAATATAAAATACTTTATAATTGGCTTCAATTCACACACTATAACATTTCAGATAAATTTTTACCTCTCACATGCCATTAGGCTAAATCACATTTGTCCATCCTTATACTCCTAACAAGTAAACTAAATCACATTTGTCCATCCTTATACTCCCAAAAAGTAAAATAAGCAATTTAGTCAATTTTCAACACAAGCCAGTTATTTGACCTTATAATCATGCCATTTTAATCAATTCAAAGTAAACCTAATATTAAAATTACAGTCATCCAAATTGTACCAAAAATAGAAATAGTTTGAAAGGCATGATTACATTTATATATTCATATAATTGACAATAAATAAAAAGCCCTAATATTGGCAATATAACACATTATAAATCATAAATTAAATACCCAAAAGAGACAGTGGATCTACACCACTAAGTCTCTGGGACTCCTCCACGTGTCACTCGTGGCTCTTCTCCTGAAAATTGTTAACCACATAATGAGACTCAAAAGTCCCAGTAACCAAAACCAATTTATGATAGTGTATACAAACAGTTAAGTGTGTGCTTACTAAGTGAGAATTAAAAATAATATAATTCCAACAAATATAAGAAATATTACAATATACACAAACAACCATCCTTATATCCCTCCATTAACCTCGAGCCGTAGCCCTCACTCGGTGCTAAATTACCCAGCTAAAGGTAGATTAGCCCGAGCCCTTACAAGCCACCTATTGAGCTCCAATAGGGGCGTACCACGTGGCACATAAATACAACAATAATAGCAAGTCTCCCAACACCTCCCACAATAATTAAACAAATTCATAATAATATTGCACAATTATACAATATTACAAAATTCATAATTTTCTCAATAATCACCCAATTAACAAGAAGTAACACTAATCACAAATTAAAAGCATGGTTACTTTGTGGCTTTTTCAATAAATTATTCCTTAAAATTTCTCTCTCACCACAATTTTTACCAATAATACAATCTACAAATAACATATTATTTATAAATATTAGTTTCAATTTTTGAAACTAATAAAATAATTCTAATAATAGAATTAAAAATATAACATAATTCCTAATCTCAATGTTAATACAAATCTATAGTTAATACTATTAAGTAAAATTTTTAACTCCTCTTTTAATTATCAATAAACATTAATAATCTAAAAATCAACTTCTAAACTAATTTCTATTATCAAAATTTTCTTTTTATTTCATAAATTCGTACCTAAAATACCCAAAAATTAAAAATTGTGTCTCTAGCTTAGAATCATAATCCTATAACCATAATAATTCATTTCTCGTCCCAAATAATCATCTAAACCTCAATAAATCAACATATATTTTCAGATCTAGTTTAGAATTTGATCCATAAGCCACAGATTCAAAGATCATCAATAAATTTATACTCTAAAACATTTATTATACTACTGAAAACTTCAAAAATCATATTTATTCAACATAAATTCATCCCTCTTTCAGATCTTAAATTTTCTACCACTACAAACTCAGAAACCAAAGAAGAAGGATGATTAAGAAAAAATTTTAGAACACTTACTTAGTCTTGAAAAGCTTAAAATCACACCCTAAATATCCTATTAAAAACTCTTACCTTAAAAATTTAGATATTTTGCACCGGTGACTCGCTTCTCTCCGCCTCAGCTCGCGCGCAGGAAAAGAATTGAAGAAATGAAAGGAAACGGGTGAGTTTTATAAAAATTCAGTGGGTCCCACATTTTTTTTATTATTTCTTCTCTCCTCTCTCTCTTTTTTTTATTATTATAATATATATATAATGATGGCACGCGAAAATGCCGAAAGTCATTTGTTCTTCTTCTTCTTCCCCCCCTTTTTTTAATACGTTTTCCCCTTTTTTTTATTATAATAATAATTTAATAATATTTTTTTATTTTTTTAATTATTTTTTTATTTTTTTAAAATTTTTTTTAGAATTATATCCTAAGTTAGATTTAATAATCATCTCTTACTAATTTTCTTACCTGTAAATATTATTTTTTTTTAAATTTCTATTAACCCAAATTAACTATTAAAATTTAAATTGGAATGTTATAATATACACTGTATACCTCTACCACGTAGAGCATATGACTTCCCTTTTCAAGAGCAGGGGCTTGACATGTATATATATCTATATACTCATCTGTTTAAAAACATAAAATATTTTTTAAGAGATTTAATGTTAAAAAATATAAGATATTTTTAATTTTTTAAGGTGTAATCATTATTTTTTTAAAAGTACCCCTATTGATAATAACTTTAGATTTATTATAGGATATTTAATAGAGGTAAATATGAAAAGATAGAGGTAGTTAGAAAATAAGTAACTACTTTGTTAAGAGATAAGATTCGATTAAAAATATTTTATATTTTTTTAAGGAGGGAATATAATTCTATATAAACACGGGCAATTGTCAGTGCAAAGATTTAACTTTAGAGTTTGTGCGGAGTGTCGCGAAAGAATAATATAGACCTGAGAAATACGCACGCAGAGAGAGACAAGTGAATGGAAATTGAAATGCTAGAGTGATTGAAAAAATCAGTTAATAAATACATGGTTGGCGCGAAGATACGCAATGCCCAGGAGATTGGCTCTCAGGTTTTTTCAACGCGAAATAAAAGTCCCGCCTGTACATGGACGGTGATGTAACGAAGAGGGCTACGGTCAAATGAGAACTCAGCAGGAAGAACAAGCAAATTACTGAATTAGAAAATGAAGGAAATAAGATAAGTGTGGTTGGAGAGACGAAAGGCATATTCACCGGGGCGTCGTCATCTCCGATAATATCAATGAATCCCAAGTTCTCAACATGCAAGAACCCAACCATGGTAAGCAAAATCCTCCCGTGGTGGACGCTACACACACCCACCCATACACGCATTTCATTTTCGTGGCTATTGACTTCCTCCCCTTTTAGGCCCACTGTTTCCCTTGTCGGCTCTTTTCTTCTTCCCATAGACCCACGGGATAATCTTATCAACGCTGGCGGAGGGAGGGAACTGGCCGCGGCTTCCCAATTTTTTTGTATTATTCAAGTGTTTCATGTTTTTAACCTTTTTAAAATTTATAAATACTTTATAATATATATATTTTTAAATTTTAATCCTTTTATTTTTAAATTCTGGCTCCACCTTGCTAATCAAAGGCACTTTAGATTCTAGAAACAATTAAAAATACTTATGTACTTAACCTTAAATATTTAAATTGCTTATTCTCAATTAAATCATTTATTTTATAATACATTTTTGTTATTAATATTGTTAACTAGAACGACAAACATCATTACCATATTAAAATTACATTTTTTAATTTGATTGTATGAAAGTATATTAAATATATAATAATAAATGTATAAGTCTTGCCAAGAAACAATTAACCTTAAAGAGCCTAAGAAAAACATAGGAACTCAATTTAAATTAAATTTCAATTTTTAATTAATAAATTTTACTATTTCATAAATTTGAATTGCAATTTATCAATATTAGCACAAAATTTATCAATTGAATATCTGAATTTGAAATCTAAGAATCTTTCTAGACCTTTGATCTGTCATGCCATAACAAGTTCCTTCTGGGGTCTTTAATGAGATTCTCCAAAATAAAAACTTCATACCAATGGGAGATGTTAGATGTATATGACATGTACATCACCAAAATTTTGTTTACTATAGAAAATTTCACCGCCCCCTCGCCCTCTAATTTAATTCTTAGTCCTTCCCTTCTATACAACAGAGTATTAACAACACCACCATCACTAATGAGAGGAAGAGATGAGAATGCAGTAGGTGGGGAAAAAAAGGGCCGAACATTCACACTATCAACTATCGATTTTGAATTTTCCTATCCCCACGACGACGACGCACCCAGAGTGTACACCACATCTTCCCTGCTCCATCCCGCACGCAGCAACCTCTGCGACCATAATCGCACGTGCACAGCCACGGCCTCTCGGTCTTGGGGGGCCCCACCCTTCTCCCACTCCTCATCCCCACCCTTCATCATCTCCAGTATCTCCTCGTCCCTCCACCCTCCCTCCCTCAGTCGGCAACACGCGTCTTCCAGACAATCCCCCACCTCGCCCGTCGCCCCGCTGCGCCACCACTCCCCTAGCGTTTCCGCCGCCTCAGACCAAAACTCCACCCGCCTCGCCCTCTTTGCCGCCCACACCGGCTCGACCCATTCCCAATTCTCAGTCAAAAACGCCGCCTCTCCGAAGAACCCCGACACGTCGTTGCTCAGCAGCCGAACGTCTCCCTCGTGATCCACGTAGAACACAGGGTTTCCCGCTAAATTCGGAGACGATGGTATGTAGCAATGCCGGTAAATTGGGACCAGCGCGGGCACGTCCTTCAAGAATCGGCGCGCATAATCCAGAGCCCTGCCCCTGACTCGAGGCCGAGTCCCCCAAGACGAGTGCCAGAAGTTGTTCTTCGAGACCCGTCGCAACAGAGAAAATACGGGGAGGTTCAGCAGGAGCTGGAGTTGCTGGGCAGAGGAGGAACGCCAGTTGGGGAAGCCCTCGGATACCGGCATACCTAGCTGGAGTATGGAACGGAGGTCCGGTGGAAAACAGAAGTTGAGGGACGACTCGATGTCTGAAATCTCAGAGTCGGACAGACCTTCTTCCACCGCTATATTGGACGACTTGAGATGCTCTATGAGAGTCTTCCCATATGCGGCGAAGGAAAAGCATATTCGCTTTGGTCTTGGAGTCTTTGATTGGAGTTGATTGTTAGTCCTGGTGCTGCAAGTATCTCCGGCTGTAGCTATTGCGGTCGCCATGAAACAGGGCCTCCGTCCAACAAATTATGGCAGAGATGAGATATGTAAACGGCAAGGTTGAAGTTTTGAGAATTGGGTATGCAAAGTCAGTTTAATTCTGGATATTGAATTGCGTCCGTCAACGCGTTAAGCATTGATCACTGTTTTGGAGCGAAGAAGTCGGTATCGGGAGAGATTGAAATCTTCCCGGCGAGCGCAGTTCTAGAGGAAGAGAGATATTGAGAGAGGCAGAAAGAGAACGTTTGACTCTTATAGAATACCTTGCTGTTCACGTATCCTTAAGGATTGGCCTATCGCGGCATTGCCATTCACGTGCTAGTCTCCCATTGGCCCCTTGGCATCCTCTAGTTTCATTTTTTTCCATTTCTCGTCCCACTCGGTGATATTCACCTGATAATAAATCTTCTCCTTCTTTTTTTAATGATAATAAACCTTCCTTCTCGGGGGGACAATTAATTTTATTTCTTTAAGCTAAAACAGTGCAGGCTAATGCATTGATAAATCCCATGCAAGGTGCATCCATAAGTTTTGTTTTCAAAAATATTTTTTCACCTATTCGTATTTAATGACTTAATCCACGTATTAATTTTGGATTTATCATACGAAGGAATAAATCAAAGTATGAATTGAATATCTTAGATTTAAATTTAAGATAATTAAAATTAATTATTTTGGATGATTAATAACGCCTCGTATTTAATTGAGGTTGATATTTTGAATGAAGAAATATTTTATCTTACTATAAATAAAATCAGATATATCAGTTCACCAAAAAAAAAAAACCAGATATATCCACGTGTTGAAATAAGGCTGCATGACATGCATGTCAAAGATATAAATAAGGTTTGTTAATTAAATTTACTGCAAAATATAATATTTTTCTCAAACTTAATTATCCTTGATTAATGGCAGATATTCTTGCTTGTAACCACAATTTACTGTATTTTATTCAGTAAGAAACATAAGCATTTCTGGAAAATAGTATTTAATGATTGAAATAGTGATATATAGTTTAGACTAATAAAATACTCTTCTTATACATGTAACTTAAGGTTGTAATCATTCAACTTCCAGGTTCACAAATTAAAACAGGAGAGGGAGTCTAAATTTAACATATTCTATGTATACATGCAACAAGAATGATTGGGATTGATGCATCCTTGGGGGATTGAGGAAGGTGTTTAAAAGGGGAGAGATGTGTCTCATTTTCTCTTAATTTCCATTTCGCTCATTTTTCTTTCACCACCGGTAGATCAAAACTTCAACGATTTTAATTTAATATTTGATAATTTATTATTTTAATGTATATAAAAATATGTAAATAAATTTGAGTTATTGAAGTTTCATTTGAACAATTTGAAAACTATAATACTTTATTTATATATTTTTTGTAAAATATAATAATATTTTTATCAAAAATTAAATCTGAACCTCTGACTTTGAAAAGTTTTGATTTAGCAGTGACAAAGTAAAATGAGGGAATTGAAGACTTAGGAAAAAGCTGAAAAAAAGACACCCCTCTCCCATTTAAAAGTAATGCTTTAAAAGTGGTTCAAGTCAAAAAGGTTAATGGTACTAATTTTAATAGTCCAACTGACTCGTGATTAGCTAATAACATAATAATTAAATTAAAAATAATATTAATATATGTAAACAAATATAAATAAAAAATAAACTTACAATATATCTAGTTGTTAATACTAATAGAATAACACACTCGAACATAAATATATAATATTATAAATTATAGTTTTATAATTTTTTAAATTTAGGAGGATTTTGATAAAAACTCTAAAGTATTGCATTTATAATATAGTTTTTAACTTTTTTTAAAAAAAATCACAAATCATATTATGTATATGTGAACTAAAAATGAAGCAGACATTTGGAATGATCCACTTTTTAGATTTTTTTCTATTTTTAGTTTGTTTAGCCTTTTTTATATGTAGTTCAGATGTTGATTTTCTAAAAACCATTATGGGTTCTGGTTTAATAACGATTCAAATCTGATCTAATCTGGGTTGACTGTAAAAATGATTTCCTGATCAAAATTTAGCCATTAGTTAGTCTGATCGAGAATCCAACTAGCCCAATCACCATCTGATTTGGATTTAATTTTTAAAGCAATGATTTTAAGTCTAATTTTCATGTTGTGAAGGCGCATTGACATGACCTGGGATCCCCATTTCCTAGGCCATGACTTTGGTGGCGGGATCACTGATGATACCTGCTGTTCTTATCATCTTTGGCTGCATATTTTATCTTTACATTTCTGTTTTAACATCTTTGGCTGATCCAAAATCTAACTCGCATAATTCCCCTCACATTTTTTTTTTAAGTCTAGTTACAATGTCAATGATACCAAATTGAAAACCGACTCGGTCTAAGAGAAGGAACGTTGCTGGCAATGATTTTGATATTCTCGTTCGTCATATTTCATTGTGGCTGCCTGGCTGTAGTGTCACATGGAGGCACTACGGAATTAAAAACTACTATGGAGTATGGACCTGATAAATTGAATTGTACTCTAGTTTTAATTGTTACGTACTTCATCATTTTGCGATATACTTTTTATCATTTATATAACAAAGCTTTAATGCCAAAAATATTCTTCTTCCTTCCATGGGACTTTATAATAATTCTTAGTTCTCCCTACTTCTTTTCCTCATCTTCTCCAACTATTTTATCCATCTATGGTGCTTCTTTGTCTACCTTCCTCCATGGGTGTCAGATTTTCTGCAAAATTAGGACTTTTTTAAATAGCAGGGTCGAAAATAACTTTTCTAGAGATACATTTGATTGTCATGCTTGATGCTATGATTTGATATTTCCATTCAGATTGTTACAGAGAGAGAAGATAACTTGAAAATAGATAAAAATACCTTTTGTTGAACTTTCCTTTTCCCCCCTTGTCTGCCCATAGTTATTTTTTTTATTAATTGGAGATAATTTTATTTAATGCATGGTTAGATATTAAATATGAACATATTTTTTTAACAAGAATTTAAATATTAATTTATTATATTTTAAGATACTAGTTATTTATATTAGATTTAATTCCTGCAAGTCATTTTATCTGCTTTAACTTTATAAGATAAAAAATGGTTTTCCATAACGTACATGTCGTCATCATGGAGGCTGTAGCGATGAGGATGGAGTTGAAGTGATCCGGTCGCATGTCTGTGAGAAAGCACGCTGGGTAATCTAGAATTTGGAAAGTGAAGAAAGAAGAAAAAAGAGACCATACGGAGACAATGCAGAAATACAACTAGACCTTCCTGAGACAGGGTAAATAAAAAGCTTTAGTTATGAATAGGTAGAAGGTATACATAATCCTGTGACCGTGAAAGAACAATTTAATAATTAATATTTCCATATAGTTTTTTTTTTGTGTCATCTAATTTTTAATTCATAAATCTGAATAATATGAGGTCTATTTCAATGAGACAAAAATTATTAGGAAATCAATTATAATATTTATTTAGATTATAAAAGCATTTAGACTGGAAACAACTAGCAGGGATGGTGAGTTCATGTTTGATAATAAACCATGACTCTTTATTGAATAATAATTAATTTTGAAACTCTAAGGGTGGCTGGGAACAACTCGTGGATTACTTTCTTCGTATCTGAATAGAAGAGAAAATTACCTCCTTAATTTAAGAAAGTTGGTTAAGTGTAATGATTATGCATAAAAATTTAAAAAAACTGGACTAAACAATACTTATAATTAATGAAATAAATTTATCCAATGAAAATAAACATTGATTTTATGAAGGACAATTTAAAACAATTATAATAAATGCTTATTGAAATTTATAAATTTATTTATAAATAAAAACAACTTTCTCTTTATAATTAAAAACGGAGCGGTGTATAGCTTTGTAACCAGAAAGAAAAAAAGATTCAACGGCCATTAAAAGCAACGTTTGCATTGGCCAGAAGAAAAATGTCACATTTTCTTGTTGAGTCAGATTTTACACACAGCAACATCCACTGATTTAGCCCACAGTTGCGAATCGAGTAAATCTGGCAAAGGAACGTTCCGTTGTAAGACGAGGCGTTCTGTTCAAAGCTCCAAAGTTCAAATCGTGAAATCCATGCATGGTTTCATGCTTCGTTTCTCTCTTTTTCCACAAAGGAATTAATTAGCAAAACAAAATTAGACTTTTTATAATTGGAAAGCTTGCCTTCCAATTCTGTACTAATCCGTGGTAGCGTGGAGAAGGGGGAGTTGAAACTATGACAATTGAAGGATACAATCGGTGTCAAAATGTTCGAATAATGTGTGTTACGTTGTGTCTGGATTTTTTAAAGTGTTTTTTTCTGACTTCAACTATTAGTAATTGTAATTTTTTTTGTGATTAATAAAATTGGCTTTGTTTTGGCCCAAAAAAAGTTTCAACTAGCCAATACGGTTTGCATTAGCTGGGGCAAAACTGAAAAATTTTATTAGGAGGTCGGGATAACAAAATGTATATAATAATTGAAAAGAAATTAAATCTATATACATATATAACAAAAATAAATAAATATTTTTATTTTTTAAATTTTGCTTATCAATCTTTCATAGCATAAGAATAATTAACTATTATGTTTATCATAAAATTTTTAACAATTTCCTTCTTAATATAAATTATCATTAAATTTATAAAGATTTCATCTTTTTTATGAATGTTGAATAATTTAAATGCATATTTGACATCTAAAATTCTGATCAATTTAAAAAAAACCATTACTTGTTTATTGAATTTATTTTTTAATTCTTTCAATCAATAATTGTATTAAATAAATATATCAACATGGTAATGATATTCAATTGTTACAAATTTTTCATGTCAATGAGATCTAAGTATATCATAGTAAAAACCATTCATATAATAAATTTTAATAGCTTAGTTATTACAAAAAAAAGTAATTTTTTTCTAGAAGAACGTATCTTATAGTAAATATTAAATGTATAGCATTCAATATATCTTATAATTTTTGCTGCAGTGCTTGACAAAGTTTATTTGTAATAATTCTCATAATTTTTTTATCAACTATAAAATAAAAACAAAATTAAATGACATTAATGTTTTAAGAGCTAGTGTAACATTATCCTATTAAAAATAAAAGAATTTCATGACAATTATATTTTCAAACTATTAAAATAGTTGGACTGTAAATGCAGAAAAGATTATTATAAAATTGAAATGAGAATGTCATTTAATGTCTTAAAGTTTTTATAATATGTTAAGTTAAGAGATCAAAAATATATAATTCTTACTTTTCACTGGGCTCCTTGTCTCCACCCTAGTGTGTTATATTCATTTTTTCATAATTTTGTGCAATGAAAAT